AGCACACCTGCTGTCACAGGTAGGATGCAAAAAAGTGCCGCATCTCATCCCAGTTTGCTGACTCGTATCGCAACACTCTCGTCGTGCCCGCTGGACAGTCATCAGGAGGAGAGATGATCCATAAGAATTTCATCAGATAGTAATCGGATGATCCCAGTGGAGCTAAGACAGATAATGAGTGCAAGTCTGGGTCTGTTGTCAGGAGAAAGTCCATGCAATTGGGTGTATGTCCAGGTATATCTGGTACCCGCATCGCTACTTGAACCAACTGAGTGAGATCTAGCGATAACGGAGGTTTGCGCGCCTCTCTCCCACCATGGTCAGTTTTCTCGTATGGGAACAAGCACTCTTGTGGTGGACGTTAAAATCCCCGAGAAAAACTAGCTCCACAGATGGATTCCCTTGTTGGGCTTTGTCTGTCATCCCTGTCAGGTGTTCAATGAGCCTGGTCGTCTCTTGGTCTCCACTGTGCGATCGATAGACAGAGGCATAGAGAGTTTTTTCTACAACGGTGTCCACCATAAGCCACATTGTAGAAATCCCTGAAACCTCAAAGCAACGGAGATGCCGACAGCAAATGTCGTCGCGCACAGCGCACTGTTTAAACTTATGTTCAAGCGAGTTACCTAAGTATGTGAGGTAAACCACATCCAACAGATTTGCTATCTGCGTCTCCGTTAAGAAGAATTGGAGCGGCTTCTTGGTCTCGTGGTGGTGGTGGACCGAATCGAGGTGTATGCAACCCTCTGATATTCGTGAGGTGCACTAGCGGGAGCAAATGCCGCCGTTAATTAACCACATTCTTCTTTTTAGCTTTTATCATTTTCGTTCGGTGTTTTTTGGTGGGGAAACAGTTGAGTAATTGAGGCGCCGCTCAATATACGAACTAAAGACTCAAAAGCTTGGCCAATAGATGGGGAACTCATTTGAAGCCCGAGCCCACCATCGGGTCCTCCCAACCAGTCGCTAACTGGCACGGTGCAAATTTACATGCATAAATTTCACAATGACAAACATCCAGAACCGGAACAAATATTTGTAGGCCATAAAAATACTTGTTCCGTGGGAGATTTGAACCCGCGGTCATCAACGCTGCATTTCATTGCTAAGAAGTAGGGTTGAAATATTAGTCGGTTTAAAAAATTAAGAACTAATATAAGAAGTATTTCAAACGCCTTGTATCTTAACCACATTAACCAGACATTGTACGAAAATTTATGTCTTATTACGTGATAACTTTCTGAGATACATTTTCTCTACGTATTTTGATATGTTCGTTTTTATTTAGTTTTAATTTTAAACTTTTGACAAGTAAAACTTTCAACGCTGAATGAACGCCTTTAATTTTAATTATTTACATGTCCTTTATTTAGGAATAAAAAGTTGTATATTAATAAATGATTATTTTTATTTTTTACAAAACTATCCGGTTTTTTCGAGTACTTTATTGTTTCTTAGAAAATCAGATTTAGTTGTTCATAAGATCTCTTAACTTAGAATTATCTTCCTATGTACATAATGAATGTATCGAAAAAAAAATTATAGATTCTAGTTTAGTACAGACTATTGACGTTCAAAACAATATACAAAGTTATCTTATAACACTTTTAGGGCGTTACTCACCGGCTACGGTTGTCGGAGAGTTAAAGGACTCGAGGATCAAAATAAAAGTATCCCAGGGCGCCTTTTGTTGGATGATTAGTAAATGAAAATGATAAGTTACATATACAGACAAAAAGTAGTTTATTTCCTTCTACGGTTCACATATATAGCTCCAAATATCCAGTTTTCACTTTAAAATACCCTACGAACTGAGGTTTTGACTAACCTGGTGGATTACACAATATTATACTGTTTATGGTCAATCCCGCGAAGCAGTGAGGCAACAGATATCTTCCAGGTGTACGCCGGTCGCGGTCTCCTGGCCGCCCAGTCCCAATATAGCCACCCGTTGAAGCTGCCTCGCCTCGTTCACATTGTTGAACTTGATAATGGACCATACTCAAAGTACGGACTAAGGACTAAGGACTAAGGACTAAGGACTAAGGACTAAGGACTAAGGACTAAGGACTAAGGACTAAGGACCCCTATGACAAGGCAAAAGAATCTATGAAACACCGTGTACCGTTAATTAGAGCACATGTGCTTTTAAGAAGACAAAAACATTAAGTACTTACAATTTATGGGATGATGTGTTTCAACACATTAAACTGCCAGTAGACATTGTGTTTAAGGGGCCGTACGCCCAAGTAGTCGTCACTTTAAATTCATGTTCCGGCGTTTCGATTCAAACATTATATATGTGCGTGTCCGATCATTACAACGGCTCGCTCCAAAAAGAACTAGGCCTCCCTTGGGCTACACGCCACCGTCGATCCGTGGTAGAATTTCGAACTAACACGAAAGGTCAATTGCATGCAAGTAGCTAGCTCGATTCGTCAATATGTTTCTAGTTACTTCGGACTAATGACGTTAGATGGCGCTCTGAAGTCTGTTCATCGCATGTAATAACATAAATATGCTAAAATAATGTACACGAAAATTTTCGTGTTACACATCCCCTTTGCTTGGGTTAAAAAGTTCCTCGTAATGAAGATACTTTTTCCGAAGACATTTCGTGCCACCTGCAGAACAACGACTGAATACCAAAGACAGTGAAGAAGTTGTAATGCGTCTCTAATCCAATCTGGCTAAAAACATTCGCACGGATAGTAAATTCCAAGTCACCCATGCACCAACAACTAACAAGTACCAAGCCATCACTTAATCACTTAATTACGACGTTTAATCTTACACAAGGCTCATTATTACTCTACTTATTACCTAATTTTCATTTCTGTATCTGTATACCTAGTAACATTATATTCCACTAAACAATTTAACCTCAAAATGTAATTACCTACTTGTGTTGTTAACACAAAAAAAACACTACCACAAATTTACCTACTTGTGTTGTAAGTTAGAAAATACTACACTAATTGTTATACCTATATTAACCTAATGGCATGCAACTTTAATTACATTTATTCCTACATGTTTTTACAATAATGAAATATAACCGCCTATGAATAATTACGTTCCCGAATCCTACGCGCGAATAGTCTATTACCATTCATGCGGTGCGTGACGTAACATCACGGGACAGAAACGAATACCTACAGTGCACTAAGCCTACACACGATGTTTACGTTTCGACTCGATTTTTTTCTAAGTAGTCGAAAAACGAACGTGTTCTTATTTATTAAGTTGAGTAGTTAAGTGATTTGGAAATCATATTAAGTGTTAAGTTAAGTTAAATATCTATCTCGCATTAAGTTAAGTGAATTAACGTTTAATCACATTAAGTTAAAAGAAACAGCTTAAGTAATGCTACGCACTGGCTGGTATGCATTTTCTTATATAATGTCCAGAGTGCGGACATAAAGAACAAATTCTTATCTAACTCGCGCCGATGTTCACAACATAAGATGACCTACTAGTTATGTATCGCTCGTTCATCAATACAATCACAGCTTATTTATCTCAGAAAGTTCACCGGTGGAAATGAATTTTGAAAATGTTTATTATTCTTACATTCTTTCACTCAATCATACTCATCACTCACATTCTACAAAACTATTAGTCATCTTGTTTAAGGATGTCTTTTATGTGAAAATTATCTAGTGTCTTACCTTCCATGCTGGCTAAGGTATACACTAAAGGTGATAATTTCGCTGTTATGACACATTTTTGAAATTTTGGTGCTAGTTTAGCCGTAAATCTCTTTGAGGCATTAGATAGGTAATGGGTACGTTTATATACAATCTGACCTACTTTTAACTCAACATGTCGTTTTCTTAAGTTATAGTACTTTTCATTTCTAGAATGAGCATTTTTAATATGCTTTTGTACCTTTTTAAATATGGTGTCTAATTCCGCAAATTTTTTACTGTATGCTTGTGGTTCACCGAGAGTTACTTGTGATCTTTGAACTGGCTGAGGGCTATCTAAGCTGTGTAACATTCCATCTATTATGAATTCCCGTCCGTGCACAAGAAAATACGGAGTAAACTTAGTGGTATCATTCACGGCTGAATTAAGTGCGCATTGCAACTGTGGGATGTTCTCGTCCCATCGTTTATGCTCGGTACCTACATAACATGATATACCGTTAACTACGTTCCTAATCGCTCTTTCGGCTTGATTTACCTGTGGGTGATAACGCGGGTTATAATAGATATTCGGTACGTTATATTTATGTAACAGTTGCCTAAACTGGTTAGACACATACTGTGGGCCATTGTCAATATAGATAGTCTTACATACGCCATGTACTAGGAACACTTTCTCTTCTATGAACTTAGCGACCGCAGCGCCTGTTGCGATCCGTATTGGATGCAACATGACATACTTGCTAAAATAGTCTGTACATACAATTAAGTGAATATTCCTATTGCGAGAAACCGGAAATGGGCCTAGCAAATCGCAACATATGGCCTCCCAGGGTTTGTTAACCTCCTTCGGGTTTCCCATTAAACCAGGTCTAGCCGTGTTGACGGGTTTGTATTGTTTACATATCTCGCATTTTTTAACATATTCTTTCACATCTCGGTACATGCTGGGCCAGTAATAATTAAGACTAAGACGCTTGTGGGTTTTAAAGACACCCAAATGAGCACTAACTGGTTCATCATGACATTTCTTTAAAATATCTAACCTGTCTTCCTCGGGTACCACTAACTTCCAATTAAACTCATTCGTTAACTCATATTTATTTTTAGAGTACCTAAGCAATCTATCGTCTTTTACCATGAAGTGGGGATATTTGCGAGGGTTGGCCTGACAATCTTCGTATACATGTCTATACCACGCATCACTGGTTGCTGGCGTAGCGATTGCATCAACTTGAATGCTACTTAGTGCGTCTGGAATAACATTTAATTTACCTTTTCTGTGTTCTATTTCGAAATCAAATTGACTCAATCGCATGCTCCACCTGGCTAAGCGACCTGATGGATTATTTAATTATAAAACCATAATAACGAGGCGTGGTCGGTTATTATTTTACACTTTGTACCTTCTACATAAGATCTAAATTGCTCTAATGCGTAAATCACGGCCATAAGTTCTCTCTCCGATGTGGAAAAATTATTTTCATTTTTGGCAAGAGACCGACTGCAGTATGCTATGGGATGTTCTACCCCGTCATAAGTCTGGGTTAAGACTCCGCCCACAGCCACTGAGGAAGCGTCACAATGGATAGAAAAAGGCAAATCAAAGTTTGGACATTTAAGTATCGGAGCAGACACTAAAGCGGTTTTTAAGTGGTTAAATGACTCATCTGCCTCCGTAGTCCATTCAAAGCGGACATTTTTGCTAGTTAACTTATTCAACGGTTTACTAATTTTCGAAAAATTGTTAATGAACCTCATGTACCAGCCTGCCATGCCTAGAAACCTTTTAACCTCTTTAGCGGAAGTTGGAGTTGGATAATTCAATATAATATCTACCTTTCCCGGATCAGTTCTAAGTCCATGTTTGTCAACTAAATATCCCAAGTACTTAAGTTCTCTACGGCAAAAGATAGAATTATCCATGTTTATAGTCAAGTTTGCGTCCCTGAGTTTTGCGTAGACCTTATGCAAGAGCTGCACATGTTCTGAGAAAGTGCTGGATATTATGTTTATGTCGTCTTGGAAACAGAATACTTTGTTGTTAAATTCGGGACCAAATAGCCTATCGATTAATCTCTGCATTGTGCTTGACGCGGAAACAAGGCCAAACGACATTACATTGAATCTAAATAACCCCCTACGTGGCACTGTGAACGCGGTCTTATCAGCTGATTGCTCGCTATCATAGGGTATTTGCCAATACGCAGCGGAAAGATCTATTGACGTTAGGTATTTCGCGTCGCGGAGCTGGTCCAATATGCTGCTTATATACGGGAGAGGATACGCATCGTGTTTGGAAACTGCATTTAATTTTCTACAATCTAGACAAAGCCTTAGGTCCCCGTTTGGCTTCTGAACCATTACTACAGGTGAGTTCCAAGCTGACTGTGAAGGTGACACAACTCCCAAACTAAGCATTCTATCCAATTCTTTTTCAAGTGCTAGTTGCTTAACAGGTGATAATGGATAGTACCTTTGCTTAATAGGTTTGCTATCCCCTGTGTCTATGACGTGATGAATTAAATTGGTACGTCCCAAACCTACTTTAACTGTGTTAATTGTATCAAACTGTTGGACTAACTTATCCATGATTTGTTTTTGTTCTATGGATAAAGACTCGTATTCTTCAAGGCCTTTATTAAGAGAAACCGAATTTATGCTATTACATATTGATGACTCCGACTTTCGGTCAAACTGTACTTCGGATACAAGGTCACTCCCTAAGTCAAACACCTGCCAAAAATCAACACCTAGAATTATAGGTGAAGTTATTTGTGCAACAACATAAAAGTTAATCACTCTGAAATTATTGTTAAATTTAATAGGTAAGGACATATACCCTAAGCAATGCAATCTCGTACCATCAGCAGTTCTCACGTAGTGCTCAGTGTCAAACCAGTTGAGTTGAAATCCGTGTTCTAAAAAGATCAAATGCGCATTATTTCCAAGAATGCTACAAGTTGCACCCGACTCTAATAAGCCAAAAGCTTGTAAGTTCAATATTTTTAATTTTAAGTATGGTCTTATATCCCTAGTATTTTTTTTAAACAGAACTACCTCTTCATTATTGGACGTATAAGACCTATTTTTATTAAAGGTGTTGGATAGTTCCGTGTTAACTAGTTTTTTGAATTGCAATTACTACAGTCTGAACGCTTAACACCTTTTAATCCACCCTTAAAACACACTAACTCTTTCGAATTGCATTGATTGGTGAAATGAGTGTTTAATCCACACCTAAAGCATTTCCTATCCAATTGCTTCGAAGAGCCAGCTTCATTCAGCACAGAGACTTGTTTACTGTGAGATCGCGGCGTTTGTTTATTTAAGTCCGCTGTAATTTTAAAGTTATTCAAGTTAGGTTCACTAAATTGTTCCGCACGCGACCGCGCAATTTCTAACTGTTTGCAATAAAGTTTAAGTTTGTCTACAGAGGTTATTACATGTAAAGCTAAATCTTTCATGTACTCTGGTCTAATGTTATGCATCAAGATTTCGAGTTGTTGTCTACTCGACAACGGCTGAGTGAGTCGCGAGAACATTCCCTTCATAATGGAAAGATAGACTACTATCGTTTCGTGTCTGGCCTGTGTACGCTGCCTTATTTCATTTAATAGTTTATAGTCTAAATCGGGAATATCAAAATCGTCCCTTAAGCATTTCAATAATTGTGAATATGAGTGGATATTATCCTTATTACTTCTAAACCAACATAAAGCAGAGTTTTCTAAAAGATCAGAAAAAGCTGAAAGTATGCGAGCTTCAGTAATGTTGCGAGCCTCTTTAAGTTCCTCAAGACGTTCAATAAATACACGAACACACGTGGTTCCGTCAAATTTTAAGTTAAATGTATTTAGGTTCAAGGGTTTATCTTTCACATAGATCACGTTACTTTCCACTTTCTGGTTAGACGGCTGTGCCTGGGTTTCCTTGTACTCACCATCCGTGTCGCTATCATCACCGTCTATGACACTCAAAATGCGAATCAAACGACTACGGAGATCTGACAAATGCGAACTACTTTCAGAGATACGAGCTAGTCTATCCATCAAATAATTTGCACGACGAGACAGTTTAAGAGTCAAATTGCGATCATCTACTTTACCCGCCTGCAGCTGGGATTCCAGAAGTTCGACCTTTGGGGTGCAGTTCTCTAGTTCAGAGGCTATACTGGGTGACTGGAGTGGTTCACACTTTATGCTTCCACGGCGTGCGAGTTTGTACACCTGGCGGATCTGCTTCCTCACTGCATCGGTGGTTACATTTTCATCTGTGGAAATACCAATAATGGCGAGTTCATATATGATTTCATCTTTATGTAATGAGTCTATATACTTGTGGATCGACATTTTGTTAAAATGTACTGACGGTTACAAGAAAGTCTTAAATCGGTTGATATTAAAAATATCTACTTAAAATACCACAAATATTTTTATTATGTTAAGTTTTAATTCATTTAAGTACATATAAATCACATTCAAGTTAAACTTTCTTTGTTCTCAAGCTTACTTAAATCTACGTACATCAGAAAAAAAAATGTTAACATTAAATTTCACTAAGTTTTCATATTAAATGGGTTTTTAACAGCTTAAATAGTTACAATTAAGGTTAATTCATCTACTAACATCCAGCAACTTAAGGCCCCACGTTGGGCGCCACTTTATAACACTTTTTAGGGCGTTACTCACCGGCTACGGTTGTCGGAGAGTTAAGGGACTCGAGGATCAAAATAAAAGTATCCCAGGGCGCCTGTTGTTGGATGATTAGTAAATGAAAATGATAAGTTACATATACAGACAAAAAGTAGTTTATTTCCTTCTACGGTTCACATATATAGCTCCAAATATCCAGTTTTCACTTTAAAATACCCTACGAACTGAGGTTTTGACTAACCTGGTGGATTACACAATATTACACTGTTTATGGTGAATCCCGCGAAGCAGTGAGACAACAGATATCCTCCAGGTGTACGCCGGTCGCGGTCTCCTGGCCGCCCAGTCCCAATATAGCCACCCGTTGAAGCTGCCTCGCCTCGTTCACATTGTTGAACTTGATAATGGACCATACTCAAAGTACGGACTAAGGACTAAGGACTAAGGACTAAGGACTAAGGACTAAGGACTAAGGACCCCTATGACAAGGCAAAAGAATCTATGAAACACCGTGTACCGTTAATTAGAGCACATGTGCTTTTAAGAAGACAAAAACATTAAGTACTTACAATTTATGGGATGATGTGTTTCAACACATTAAACTGCCAGTAGACATTGTGTTTAAGGGGCCGTACGCCCAAGTAGTCGTCACTTTAAATTCATGTTCCGGCGTTTCGATTCAAACATTATATATGTGCGTGTCCGATTATTACAACGGCTCGCTCCAAAAAGAACTAGGCCTCCCTTGGGCTACACGCCACCGTCGATCCGTGGTAGGATTTCGAACTAACACGAAAGGTCAATTGCATGCAATTAGCTAGCTCGATTCGTCAATATACGTTTCTAGTTACTTCGGACTAATGACGTTAGATGGCGCTCTGAAGTCTGTTCATCGCATGTAATAATGTAAATATGCTAAAATAATGTACACGAAAATTTTCGTGTTACAATATTAAAAATATATGAATTTAGTAGTTTTTTTCACCATGACTTGCGATGAAACTACAACACTGATAATTAGCCTTGTACAATACAGTCAAGTGAAAATAATGGGATTATTAACGAAAAATAAATGAAGTATGTAAGATAAACAGAACAAAAAAGGCTACAGATGCGATGTCACCTCTGCGAACTAAGGCAGAATACCTCACAGGCTGTAGTTAAACTGGCATTCTATTTCTTCCTCAAACTGAAACACTGCAGTGCAAACACTGTTTTTTGGCAGCATGAATAGGTAAAAGAGTGTAACCTACCCAGATGGGCTCCTAAGCAGAGAAAGAGTCCTAACATCTGATAAAGATTGATATTTTGAGAGACAAGTACCACCCACTTACTCGTAACCGGTAAACCACCGTTACGCTTAATTGTACATTTCAGAGAGTGTGTGCAGGAATTAGATCATTCAATTCCTCCTTCCCCTTTCGTTCGACTTGACTCCATCCCTTTTTTGTTGATATTCCACGAATTCGAACTAAACGGTTTGCTTCGTATTTCGTAATAACGCATACGGTAAGGGAGTGAAATTATTTTCTCAGCGTCAAATTATACTATATCGTAAAACCTGACAACCAAACTATTAATGGGCGGACTTAATGCCTGTCGGCATTCTATACCAATTAATACGTAGCGTGGTGAGCTATTGTGGCAGGTGTAAGTTTAGTTACTATGAGATTTTTAAGTAAGATATATGTATGTATGTTAATACAAACTGTATAAATATAAATAAAAATACACACAGTAGAACGCCGATTATCCGAACGCCGATCAACCGAATCGCCAATTAACCGAATCGGTCCTAAGCGTAATATAAGAAATTAAAACCAAGTACTGTAAGTAATGTAATTTTTGTTTTGTTTTGTTGTAACAAGTTGGAACTCGCTGGAGTCCAGATATATTTCAACTGTTATGGTTGAAAACTAGAGGCAAGACACTACATGCGTTCCGCGTCTTCCGTGAAACGGAACGTTGGAACGTTCGTTTTTTTTCAACTCAATAACATTGAATTACTGTCAGTGAGCTCCTCCTTCTCTTATAGTGCGGATCGCTGTTTTAAACGGTTATATGATAAGTGTATAACCAAAATGAGTGCAAAGCGGAAACGTGTCGTCCTATCACTAAAGGACAAAGTGAAAATAATCAATCAGTTAAAAAAAGGTGTGGCGGGAAAAGTACTGGCAGATAGATTTGGTGTCGGGGCGGCTAACTAACTAACTGATATTAAAAATAACAGTGAAAAAAATTTATGTTTTGTGACTGCGTTGGAAACTGGTGATGGATGTTCGTTGCGAAAAGTAATGAAAAAGGCAAAGGATGAATAACTTCAGAATGCTGTTTTTACTTGGTTTCTGCAGCAACGATCTATTGGACAACCGATTTCAGGATCGATTTTATGTGAAAAAGCGCAAATATTTGTGAAAAAATGGGTGCAGCTGGTTTTAAGGCAAGCACTGGATGGATCCGCAATTTCAAGAATAGGCACGGTATTCGGGAACTGCTGGTGAAAAACTTTCTGCTGATAGTGAAGCTGCTGATAAATTTGTGGACAGCTTTAAAAAAGAAACTGAAAACTACGACCCTGATCTTGTTTACAATGCTGATGAGACTAGTAAGAGAAAGTTTTGCCGAGAAAAACCCTAGCATCTAAAAGAGAACAGAGTGCTGCCGGCTACAAAGTCAGTAAAGATCGTGTCACCATAATGGTCTGCTCTAACTCTACTGGTACCCATCGCCTTCCTGTATTATTGATTGGCAAAGCAAAGAAGCCAA